GTGTAAGTTGATTGTATCCCATATTTAATTGTTTATTATTAAAATAAATGCGGTAAGGATTGCATAGGACCATTTGATCATGGAGACTCTAGTATCATGTAAGGAACCATTTAAATTTATCTATTTACACAAGAATACTCAACTTGTACCTGCTACAAAAATCATGCCTGAGTTGATTATGTTTTCGAATACAATCTCCTCCCATTCTTTTCATATCATGTTACTCCTCCAAATATATAATGAAGTTGGGAATGTATCTGTTGTAAATGATAGTTTAGAATAGTAGTATAGAAGTCCCACATCATGTATATCTCTTTATATTTTCTTTCTTTTAAGTTATATAATAGACTTTCCGCTGTGTAGTTGAGACACACGGATTACTTATAAATCTCTTTGTTCTTGATATTCAACATGGTATCAGAGCTTCAGTGACCATAGGGTCACGAGTTCGATCCTCACCGCCCCCTACTTGTGGATTAAATAAAAAAAACACAAAAAGGTAAACCAAAAAAATTGGGCCTGTGCAATATCCACACTTCAAGCTCAATAAGCTCTCTTGTGAGGGGGCGTGTTGAGATATATAAAACCATTAATGTAGCCTCACCCAACAGCTTAAGCTTTTGGGTTGAATTGGTTCTTTACATGGTGTCAGAGCCTCGTGTCCCGGGTTCAATTCTCACCCCCCCTCCCTACTTTTTTTCTAGTGGAATTTATTTGTTCGCACAGGTAGGTGGGCCTGTGCATTGTCCACCCTTCAAGCCCAGTGGGCTCTCGTGTGAGGGGGCGTGTTGAGATATATAAAACCATTAATGTAGCCTCATCGAACAGCTTAAGCTGTTGGGTTGAATTGGTTCCTTACATGGTATCTAGAGCCTAACAAGATCCGTATCTTTCTGGTAGACCCACAGCTTAAACTGTCACCGTCGTCAGTTTCCGGCCACCGTCTGCCACCACTATCCTCCTCCGGAAAAGTTTTTCGGCGACCGTTCTGATCAAAAAGTACATCAACGGACTCAGAAGTAGCTGATCTACCCAACACCGCAAGACCCACCGTAATTAGAGGTTGCCAGCACCGTGAACCACCGTTGACCGCCACCACCGATCACTTTTTTGGCACTTTTTTCGGTGAGCCACCCATAGTTGTGATCGTCACAAGGAGGCGGTTATTTCCATCTAAGGCCCGCTCCAAAATTCGCACTGACGCACCCTCACGCGCGTGAAACATACGCGCTACTTCCACCATCAGGATTGCCCTCTTCTTCCTTGTTTAGATCGATCCTTACCTTGTGGTTTTGAGTTCGTTGCAACCCTTCCGAAGCATTTCTCCTCTTTCCATTACTATTCACGACATCTTTGTTTCAGCGAATTGTTCTTGATCCATGGCTGATTCTAGCTCATTTATCCTTCGTCAAGATATTTCTCAGCTCACGATCCCTGGTTCCACTACTACTGTTGTGCATACAGGTAATAGCGTTGCTGGTTTCACTCAAAGTTCATCATTTGGTCATTGGGTTCTTGATTCTGGTGCCTCTGATCATATTTTTGGTAATAAATCTTTGTTTGCTCTCTTTCTACCTCTGGTTATTTGCCTGCTGTCACTATGGCTAATAGTTCCCAGGTTCAGTCTCATGGGATTGGAACAGTACATCTCTTTCCGCCCATTACTATTGATTATGTGCTCTATGTCCCTGGTTCACCCTTTAATCTCCTTTCCATTAGCCGTTTAATACGTTCTCTTGATTGTCTCATTTCTTTTACCCAAAATTGTGTTTTTTTACAGGATCGAAATTCGGGGAGGACAATTGGGGGCAGATTTGAGTCTAATGGCCTTTACTTGCTCTCCAACTCCTCTCATGCTCATTCTGTATTAGATTCTCCACTCACTATTCATGCTCAGTTAGGTCATCCTAGTCTTACAAAGCTCCAGAAGATGGTGCCACGTTTGTCCAAGTTGTCCACTTTGCAATGTGAATCATGTCAATTCGGGAAACATACTCGCAGTTCTTTTCCTGATAGAGTCAATTGTCGTGCCTCCTTTCCTTTTAGTTTGGTTCACTCTGATGTTTGGGGACCCAGTCGTACTGAATCAACTCGAGGTTATAGATATTTTGTTACCTTTATTGACGATTATTCTTGAAACACTTGGTTATTTTTACTAAAAAACCGCTCTGAGTTGTTCTCCATATTTCAGAAGTTTTATGATGAAATTCTTACTCAATTTGGTATTCCTATCCGCACTTTTCGTAGTGATAATGCTCGTCAGTATCTGTCTCAACCATTTCAATCATTCATGGCTTCTCACGGCATTCTTCACCACACATCATGTGCTCACACCCCCCAACAAAACGGGGTTGCTGAAAGAAAAAATCGTCATCTTATTGAAACAGCTCAGACACTTTTAATTCATGAGAATGTTCCTACCAGTTTTTGGGGTGATGTTGTTCTCACCGCATGCTATCTCATTAATCGCATGCATTCCTCTATCCTTGGTAACCAGGTACCGTACACTATCTTGTTTCCTCATCAGCCTTTACATTCCTTACCCCTTCGTATTTTTGGTTCTACTTGTTTTGTCCATGAACTCGGTCCCAATCGTGACAAGTTGTCTGCCAAATCCCACAAATGTGTGTTCCTCGGTTACACTCGGACACAAAAAGGTTATCGGTGTTACTCTCTGAGTCTCCGTCGCTCTTTTGTCTCGGCGGATGTTACTTTCTTTGAGTCTGTGCCATTTTTTGGCTCCACCTCTATTCCTGATGACTCTGTTGATACTCAGTTACCTTTACCCTCTGTTCCAATTGAATATGTTCCGGCACCAGATTCCACACCACCACCGCCTACTGTCACTTCTCCATATGTCCCAGCGCCAGATCCTCCTCTCCAAGGTTATCACCGTCGGTCACATCCACCCATACCCCAAGACATTGATGAGGTTCCTATGGACTCAGATCTGCCATCATCAACTCCTGCGGCTTCGGTCCCGCCCTCCGACATTGACCTACCCATTGCTCTCCGAAAAGGTACTCGTAATATTCGTCCTCCACCCAGGTATTCAGTAAATATGAGTTATCATCGCCTTTCTCCATCACATTTTGCTTGTCTTTCTTCTTTGTCTTCTGTATCTGTTCTTACGACTATAGGTGAGGCATTATCCCATCCCGGATGGCGACAGGCTATGATTGACGAGATGTGTGCACTTCATGGCAGTGGTACTTGGGATCTGGTTCCTCTTCCCTCTTGAAAATCTGTTGTTGGATGTAGATGGATATTTACTGTTAAGGTTGGTCCTGATGGACACGTGGATCGTCTCAAAGCACGTTTGGTGGCTAAGGGATACAATCATATGTTTGGTGAAGATTATGGGGATACATTTTCCCCTGCTGCAAAAATGGCGTCTGTTCGCCTCTTTATTACTATGGCTGCTATCCGTCACTGGCCCCTTTATCAATTGGATGTCAAAAATGCTTTCCTTAATGGTGATCTTGCTGAAGAAGTTTATATGGAGAAACCTCCTGGATTTGTTGCTCAGGTGGAGTCCAGTCTAGTTTGTCGACTCCGCAAATCTTTGTATGGTCTCAAACAATCTTCACGAGCTTGGTTTGAGAGGTTTAACACCATTGTCCAGCAGTTTGGTATGACTCGGAGTGCAGCTGATCACTCAGTCTTTTATCGCCACTCAGACTCTGGATCCATTTATTTGGTGGTATATGTTGATGACATTGTCATTACAGGTGATGACCATCAAGGCATTACTCAGTTAAAAAAACATCTCAATCATCATTTTCAAACAAAGGATCTCAGAAGACTATGATATTTCTTGGGAATTGAAGTGGCTCAATCTAAGGATGGTATTGTGATATCCCAGAGGAAATATGTTATGGACATTCTAGAGGAGACAACTTTGTTGAATGCTAAGCCCGTCGATACCCCCATGGATCCAAATGTCAAGCTTATGCCAAATCAGGGGGAGCTATTTTCAGATCCAGAAAGGTATAGAAGATTGGTTGGGAAGTTGAACTATCTTACAGTTACTCGACCAGACATCTCATTTGCAGTCAGTGTAGTAAGTCAGTTCTTGAATTCTCCTTGTGAAGATCATTGGAATGCAGTGATCCGCATCCTCAAGTACATCAAGAATGCTCCAGGTAAAGGTCTCCTCTATAAAAACAAAGGTCATACCAAAGTTGAGGGATACTCAGATGCTGATTGGGCAGGTTCCCCTAGTGATAGAAGATCCACATCTGGATATTGTGTATTCCTTGGAGGTAACTTGATTTCTTGGAAAAGCAAGAAACAAAGTGTAGTTGTCAGATCAAGTGCTGAAGCAGAATATCGCTCCATGGCTACAACCACATGTGAACTTATCTGGTTAAAACAACTATTGAAGGAACTCAAATTTGGAGACATTGGCATAGCATCTCTCATTTGCGATAATCAAACTGCTTTACATATTGCTTCCAATCCAGTGTTTCAGAAAGGACCAAGCACATTGAGATAGACTGTCATTTTTGTTAGGGAAAAAGTCCTCTCTGGAGATATAGTCACTATTTTTGTTAACTCAACTGATCAATTAGCTGATGTTTTCACTAAGTCTTTGAGAGGGCCTAGGACAGATCACTTATGTAACAAGCTTGGTGCATATGATCTATATGCTCCAGCTTGAGGGGGAGTGTTGTAAATGATAGTTTAGAATAGTAGTATAGAAGTCCCACATCATGTATATCTCTTTATATTTTCTTTCTTTTAAGTTATATAATAGACTCCCCGCTGTGTAGTTGAGACACACGGATTACTTATAAATTTCTTTGTTCTTGATATTCAACAGTATCACCTTCCCAATTGTTTTCCCATTTTATGTTGGGGTTTAGACCCAGGAAAAATGTATGGAGAAGGCTCGTTAACTCCTGTGTTTCATTTCATTGTTCAACTAACTATTAGTAACAGTATGTTCAATAGTTGGCTGAGAAAACTAAAAAGAATCTAGGAGCCAAAGTGGAAAACATTATAGTTATACCTTTTGATACATTTTTGCTGAATCTGTGATCCAATATCATGGAGAGTAATTCCCACAAAAAGTTAAAATAAAATAAACATGTATTCTGTAAGTCATATTGCTTATTGATGGAATCCTATTACAAATCTTTGAATACCAGCAAAATCAGCAAGTATTTCAAAATTGCAGAAGCTTCCACTTCTATGATTTTCCATGTAATCAACTAAAGCCCTGCACTGTTGTTCACCATTTGTCTGTTAAAGTTATGAAAGAAGCAATCAGAAGCAGCATATAATGAATGTGATACAGTATGCAATAGCATCATGAAAGCTTAAGTTGAAAAATAAAACATTTTCCACTTTCTGGGCTACTTGTAAGGTTATAGGGTTGATTGTAATGTACAAATGTTCTTTAATAGATATCATTAAAAATTCATCCCATCTAGTTGATTATTATTCCTTCAATTTGCCCTAAAACCCATCAAACCCAAAACACTAAATCCCACAGTTACTGTTCACAATCACAACACCTAAACAACAACAATCTAACCTTAAAACCGCATACTATTGCTTGCAATTCCTCTTTATCATCAACCATTCAATCCACCTGTTTCTAACCCTAGATTCTGACTCATTAAACCCTTGCATTGTCTTATTTGCAATAGTCCAACATTTTGAATTTCATCTAGCAGGGCCCATATATCTAAAAAATTTAGGGAAAATTAAATACATAAATATCAATAAATAAATAAATAAAATTGATGGGAAAGATCAATCAATATCAGAGGAAAGCCTATAAATCTAACTCCATAAATCAATCGCAGGAAAAAGAAATCACATCGGAACCCACAAAGCAACCGCAACATTGTGGTCTTTGTTTAAAATTAAAAAAATTTCAGAACTGCAAGCTTTAAAAAATTTCATGACCATATCAACTTCAACCTGCATAACAGTAGCTACAACGCCCATAATCTTTGTAACCACGACCGCAATCTAAAATCATATTGATTATAAACCGTTGAAGAGACAGAGTATTATAAAAGTATAAAAAAATTATCATCATAAACTTCATCATTGTCCATACATAATATTGGTTCACCACTTTAAGGCTACATAGACAAACATGGAATCACCAACATAGCTATCTGGCTTCAAATCCATTAAACATTGACATGTTTTGTGTCCCATGATAACATAAATAAATTCTAATGAGTAATCATTTGTATCCCAAGCTAAAATGAAACCTTGGACATCACAGAACCTTTTCTAATTATATTGCTTATATTGTCAAAGAGAATCTATAATTTTGCAACATCTGCATCTGACAGCCTATGTTTATTTTTTTGCAAGAATCTATATATATAACAGCCTATGTTTTTTTGCTATCATGGGGCTTCTCCAGTAAGACATAAAGATACACAATTTACATTGTCTTTAAGTAAGTTTCAAGTTGAATGATTAAGGAACAGTCCTTTTTGTAGAGAGATTTTAGTCATAAGTAATTCTCTAAATAACAAGTCATTGTTTGCTGAACAATTTTTGCCTGAATAGTATCATCTAACCAGAAATCACGTAAATTTCTCAATATATATATAAAAGTCCGCCTTCTTTTACTGAGATGGGATCAAGAAGCGGCATTTATGATTTTATGGAAAGTGGTCGAGGATATTACTCTTTCATACAGTACCTTATTACTCTTTGATTATATTTCATGAGTAAGCAGAAGCACAATAAGAAACATAAAAGAAATTTGGTGCAAATTTCTAGGAAATAAAAGACCCATACCTCAAAGGCAAAAAATCCACCAGGCTTCAAGATTAGAGCAGCTCCATCACAAAGACGGAGAAGAGCATCCATGCCATCAATACCTCCATCTAATGCAACTCTAGGTTCATGTCTACCAACTTCAGCTTGTAGACCAGAGATTTCTTTACTTGGTATATAAGGTGGGTTGCTTACAAGACCTGCAAGTTTTCCTTCCATATCCTTCAATGGTTCAAACCAAGATCCTTCCCTTAATTCAACTTTGTCCTGTAGATGACAAAAAAGTGGCTCATATGATGACCAGAAATAACATAAGTGGAAGCAGCAACATATATTAAGAAAATACATAAGGGGACAGGGTGAGAACTGAGAAATGATGCAAGGCAATTATACGAAAATCAACAATTTTAAATTCATTTTTTCTTTCTGTTTTTCTTTTTTGGTAGATAATCTAGAGGTATCACAACTCAACATCGGAATACGGCTCTAAGGCTAGCAGACCATTGTCACCCGAGAAAGGGTGAGACTAATTTCCCTTCAAGGGGAAGACGATTTCCCTCTGACCTCCAAAGAATTTCAAGAATTTGCTTTGACCAGGGTTTGAACCATGACCAAAGCAAACCCTTGGGCCCTCAACTTGCCAACTGAGCTACCCTTAGGGGTTTCTTTCTATTTTTTAAGTTAATATACTTCTCTTCTCACACAGATACATATAATATCTATTTCAACAAAAGGATGTGTTTACATCCTCTAAAACATTTTAAACCATTAATGTGTCCTCACCTAAAACAATTAAAACAGTGATTTTCAGCTTTGAATTAAAAAAACCAAACAAAAAAAAAACACACACACACACACGGCGAGCTGCATGCAAGACACATGGTAGGTGGGAATTTGTCTTTCCAATTTCAGCATGTTCATAAGGAATCAATGGAGGAAGTGAAAACCATGATGTCCCACTAGACCCCAGTATTTGACCTGCTCAAAATGTGGTGTGTTCGACTCCTGTGAGGGTCACAACTCCTAGAAAAGGTAGAGAGACTGAAACCCAAAACCGAATTAGTTCGACTTATTAAGGCTTCAAACAATTGTATCTACCAAAAAAAAAAAAGTTTTTTAAAACATAGAGTTTGAAAGCATGAATCTCTAACCTGTAAGCAATACCTCTGCACATTGTAAGCTGCAACAGAAACTGCCACAGGGCTTAAATCTGTGGCAATAACCCTCCCCTCACTTCCTAAAATCCTACCAATGCCTATAGCAAGGGCACCACTCCCAGTCCCCAAATCAGCCCACACCCCACTTTTCAAATCCTCATTCTTTGAAACCACATCAGACACCAAATCAACAACAAGTTCTGTCTCAGGTCTGGGAATCAAGACCCCTTCTTGAACACTCAACACCAAATCCCTCCAATGCTCACATCCAACTATATATTGAAAAGGTCTCCTCTCTTGGATCCTCTGCTTCCATAAACAGTAGAGCTCATCTATATCAACCCTCATTCTCACCCTCTCATCATTACTCTCCACACTCAACTGTGAAAACACTGAGTGGTCGTCTTCAACAGCATCCTCAATGAGCCACGTAAGCTCCCTGCACAAAATGCTTGAGTCTGGCCCATTATCTGACTGCACAAAAGATGACCCAATTGAAGAAGCAACACTTTTGGCCCATTCATGCCACTTTTTGAGGTCACATGATTTTGTTGAATAGATGGGTGACCTTAGAAAAAGGGGAACTTGGGGTTTCAGAGAAGTGGGTGGAGAAGATGATAGTACTAAAGAACAAACGGGTCTACACAGACTGCTAAATGTAGAAGAATCGAGGTGTATTTGGAACCTATAAGAAGGATATACCCTGATTAAGCTTAGCTTCATTTCAAGGAATTTGAAAATGCAGAATCAATTATCAACTTCAATACATGCATAATTCAACAAAGAAAGAAACTAAGAGTTACTCAAAAACTCAATTCTAGAGTTACCCATCATCTTCTTCGTTTGAAATTGAACCCCAAGACTTCAAATTACTCCTAAAACACGGATTTTGAAGTTGATTTTCCACTCCGTTGGGGAAAAGGATAATATATTCAGAAAAAGGCTCAGAAAATGACTGTGAAGGGGAAAGTCTTATTTGAAAAATATTTTAGGGATAAAAACAATTAAAAATGGTATAAATTCATCAAAATTTTCATTAAAATGGTTAAAAAAAAACAGCATTTTCTGCATTCTTAAGGGAGAATTTGTACCTAGAAACAATTTATGTAATTCTATTATTCTGTGTTGGAAAAGATTAGTCCCACGTAAAGGTTGTAGGAAGAAACCATTGGAATTGTTAATGATATAGTACTATATATATATATATATATATATATATATATATATATATATATTTTATTTTTCTGGTAAACTAGTACAAGTATATTTTTAACATGACTAATGTAATCATATACTTGTTTAATAATAATTTAAATGTCTTTAGTAATATCATGATTCATGACTAACTAAAAATTATTGAAGGGATACATCCAAAACCAATTTTTTTTTTCATATAATTAAGTTTATGAAAAAATAAAAGAAATGAGTGCACCCTCACCTTCTGAAGAAAAAAAAAAGAAAAGAAAAGAAAAAGCTGCAAAATCTGTGTCCTTTAATTTAAGGAGGATACCGTTGTACCCAAAAAAAAGGAGGATACCTTCCTTAATATTTAGGCAAGTGCCTTATTTAATTAAAAAATGATATGTATAATAAATTATTTTTTATAAATATTTATATTATTTAATTTATTTGATCTTAATCTTAATATCATCAAATAAACAATTTAAGAAATAATTATAATGTGAATTATTAATGCAAACAACGAATGAATAAATTTATTGTGAGTTTAATACTTCTCATATTGTAAGAGATAAATTTATTTCCTACATACATTTTTATGTGTGTTGGACCCATGTGGGCACATACCAGAAGAAGAGAGAAAGAAAAAAAAATGGATCACACACATTTTTATGGGCTATTTGCCCTTTAATTAATTAAAATTTACAACTTCACTCCCATTTTAAAAACTATTTAAAAGATTTGACATTTCGTTAAACATAACACTAATCTGTCCTCGTTGACCAAAAACTATACTCGAGTATAAGACAATATTGTCCTGGTTGAAGTTGTTCATCATTTCTTGAATTATTTACTCGAATATCACCATTGATACTCGAGTATCACAATACATACCTGAGTATCCACCCTAGATACTTGAGTATATGTCGGCCAAAAACCCTTAAATGAGTGGGTTTGGGCCTCATTTGTCACTTACTCGTTTTCTACTCCAAAATCTCCCTCGTTTTTCATCTCTATTTCAAGCCATCAAGTTTGTATCCAAAGCTTATATCTTGTGAAATTTTTGTCATTACACTTACATATTCAAAAAATATTTCAAAAATCTGAATCCAAGCCAAACCCTAGATCCAATTTCATGTTCAGAGATGAACTCAAGTTCAAACACTTATCCTACAGTTAGCTACCACAATGGGAGATAATTTGAAGGTCCCAATGGTGTCTGATTTGAAGGAAAGAAGAAAACAAAAATGAAACAGAGCACTACATACAATGAATTGAAGGGGAGAATTCACCAAAAATTTGGGTTACAAGACCGCCAATGTATTCATCGTTTGATAGCCAGGTTACAAACTCTAGTTGATAAGGATACAATATGCTACATTGGTGACGATATCAATGATGATGAAGGTGTTGAGTTTGTTACGGATTCATTTGATGACCAAAAAGTACAAGAATATATTGAGATATATGTTGAAGTTGATTCTGCTTAGTGTTCATCTTTACCCACGCATACAAGCACTCCACAGTATTTTGGTTAAGAAGACATTGTTGTCGGTTTATCTGCACATGTGCAAGTGTTAATTCAGATAACATTGGGGGAGGGAGAGGAGGATGTGGGCAACAATAAGGAGGGAGAACCTGATAGTGTTATTCCACCAGGTGACACATCAGATACTGACGTGGAGGGTGATTTATGATGCTGACATGAATGCAGTAAGCCTGAGTTCCCCAGCTATGTCACCATTTCATGTTGACCCAGTTAGTAGTGGTAAGTTATTAAATTACGATTTTAATTGAACATTTCATATTTGTGTTGTTATTGCTTCTGACAAAAAAATCATGCTTTAAATGTAAGGCCTGAGATTGAGCCATTTTGAAATGAAATCCAGCATTATTCCTTCATTAATTAGGTGTATCCTAATGACGAGATGAAGATGTTGTATGGTAACGATGACTTGCATGATACCTGGAAATTAAGGGATCCTTTATATGTGCAACAGGAGTTTGGTTCCAAATATGAAATGCAATATACCATGAAATTATTTTGTATGAAAGGGAATTATACAACCATAGCTGAAAAAAGTGATGAGCATAGATTTGTGATGAAGTGCTGGAACCATGGTGACAGTTGTCCCTGGTATATGAGGGCAATCATGCCCAAGAATGGAAACAAATGGTTGGTCCACAAGTGGGGTAGGGATCACACCTGCCTGAACTAGGCTCATGCCCGGGTCATAGACAACTTGATTCACAGGTTATATGTGCAGTCATTATGAGTGTATTTTGTATTAAACGCATTTAAATATCTTTTTGTTTATGTTATTAATTTAGTAAAAAAAATTATTGCTTTGTTTTGATAGGTATGTTAAAGGAAGATCTAGTTGTGAAGCCAGTTCTGATTCAAGAGAGGATACAACAGCTGTATGGCTACAACATATCCTACTAGGAAAAAATAAAGGACCTTTTTGTCTGGGACAGATTGTATGCATTCTTGGCTAATTGGCTGACATACATGACGTAGTGTGCAGTGGGTTCTGTCTTCCAACTTGATACCGATCAGCATTTTATCCATCATTGGCTTGTCAGTGATAAGGCCGTCTCTCATAGAGTTTTTTGGATATTTCACCAATGTATTGAGGCCTTTAAATTCTGTAAGCTGCTACTTCAAATTGAAGGTACTCATCTGTATGAAAAATACAAAGGAACCCTTTTGATTGCGACATCACAAGATGGAGATGGATATATGCTGCCAATTGCCTTTGTTATCATTCGTCTAGGTGAAAAGTTGGAGGAATGGTCATGATTTATTATCCTTCTATGTTTTCATGTGACACAGAGGCAAGGTAGACTAGTATAGGTTACCCGAGTATTCCAGTTGGAAATGGACGTGCTACTTCTGTTTCACGAATTTTTTGGCTCCGAAGAAATTTGTAACACCATGTACTCGTACAATATGACTTGGGGAGGGGGTTTGTAGCGTGTGCACGGACAGTTCGGAGTACGTAATGGTACCAAATGCCAAAACGAAAAACTTGGTTTCAACATACCAAGTTGTAATTTAAGGTTAACAATAACCAAAACATGACTCAATTGGCATATACTCATACAACCAGAATTAGGGAAGGTATTCTGTTTGGGCATAGGGTTACGAATAGTCCAGTGTGCGCAATGGCAACAAATGTAGAATCAGACAACTTGGTTTCAATATACCAAGTTGTCATTTTTGACATAGTCTAACGCATTTGGACTTAGGGATGAGATTTGTGCATGTAAAATTAGTCAGATGTCATTCAGATCAAACATATAGCGGCAAAATAACGATATTTATGCTAAAATGTAAACATAAAGCCATTACACATAAACAAACAACAATATTCGTTAAATAAACTTCCTCCAATCAAAATCACCTTAAGACCCTAAGTACATCAAACAAAACCTTAAGTACATAAAAAAACCCTAAGTACATCAGGAAAAACCTTAATACATAGTATCTGATTTTGTCGCCTCATCGTCGTTGTCCCCCTCCTCCTCAAAAGTAGACTCAGCAGTAGCAGCAGGCTCCTCCATACCCTGTTTGTGCGCTGACTCCAAGCGTCCCACTCTGGATTCCATCCGAGTCCGCCACTTGCCTCGGTCTTGTCTAAATCCCCTAAGTCATGCACCAAGGTCTCGACGCTCCATGTCAACCTGTGCATGGATGACATGATATGATCAATCATCCATCCACCCTCAAGAGCTAGAGGATCTAGTGGCGATGAAGACATGCACCAGTAAATGGCTCATCCCGTTAGGAGCAGGAACATCAATGTCATCGCCTACAAGTGAACCAACAATATTAAATGTTAACATTAATATTAATAGATTAAATGTACAAATTAAATATAATGTGTCATCATCATCATCACCTGCAAGTGCATCCTCAATCTCAACATTATAGTGGGGGGAACTCAGGTGGCACAGGTGCAGCCTTATACACTCACACACCAGAATGTAACTGCTTAATCCAACATTATTTGAATAGACGCTCCCCAAACTTGGCATTCCAACCTATGTGGATCCTCAATGTCTTTGTATACATAGGCACACCAAACCTATGCAATATCTTCTGCACCAGGTATGCATAAGGGAGCTCATCCTTTCTAGACTTTGCAGCCTTATACATCAGAATGCATATATAATGCCTCTAGTTCACCCTAATTTGGTGAAAGATGGCCCATAAAATCACAAAATCACCCTCCAGCACCTAAGAGTGATTATACGGGAACTGAAAAATAATATGTGCGCAGATATAATATAGTATATGGGCAAGCACAGATAGGTTGCCCAAAGGATACTGAGCAAACTAGCCAAGCTCTGGATCAGCTCTCTGGGTCTCCTCAATAATCGTCTCCTGAGCGTAATTCTGAAAAACATAATGGGAGTCTCCGTTATATTAGACTGCGTTTGCATCAGCACTAAAGTCATAGCCCAGGAGCTCCATCCAGATAGGGGCAATCATCACAAAATTAATACCGCAGATGCGGGAAGTCAGCTCGCCCTGGTAGTAGTGGAGGTTCTGGTAGAACGCCCTCGCCACAACCTCCGAATAGGGGCACTCTATCTCAGCAAAGACTAGGAGATGTGTACACTCCAACAATGTCACAATCTTGAACCTCTCCATGTTGAAGAACGCCGAATCCAGTGATTTTGGCTCACATATGTTGCTGCTCATGAAGGATTT